CGTCTCAGCTGGCGCCACTTATCTGGATTATTGAGATAATTTAATCGTCGTATGATTAAATGTTTAATGAATACCCAGATACATGTATAAAACCACAATAAGACGAATCAGCAACTGTTTAAGTACTTTTAATGTTTTTATTAATTATTTATGGAATACTTCAGGAAGATAATAATTAAAGAGGATACATATTTATTCACTGTTCACACATACAAAGGGTACAAAAGGAACGAGGGATGGGAATCACCGTTAATTGACTCTATTTAAAAAACATGAGAAGTTATTCTAACAATTAATTAATGATAAAATAAAATATGTACAAATACATTGTCGACATTGTAGCTGGATGTGCCGGACGGATAAGTCGACGCAATCACAGATCCGTCCCCTGAAATAATCTCTGGAATTATTTCAATGAAAATAATAAAAGAGCAAAATCTACTGTATAATATTTTGGCAACTGGTACTTGCTGAACGGGTATTGAATTACACATTGAGTTATCAATATTTTTATGATTTTTCTGATGGTAACAAAGGTGGCTCACTAAATTATTGAAACTAACCTGTTTCCATTTTTTACTGAAACTAGAATATCTTAAATTTCTTGGTTGAATTATTTTACATGAACCGTTAAATCTTTCTCATGACCTTCATCTTAAAAGGTTTTATCGTTTTTTAAATAATGAAATACTTTATGGAAACTGTAATACAATGTTCATAATTTATAATACATTAGAACCCCTAAAAAAGGACTGATTGTGGTCGACTGTCGACCTGATTTGAATTGAGTAACACAAAGTAGCGATTTCAGGTCTAATATGAGTGAAAAAATGATGTAAGTCACAATCATCATAATCAAGTCGACGAATTGATTTGTTCATTTGATCGATAACCGATTCAATTGATCGAGTAAGGAGGTGATATGATGGATCAATCATCCCAATGAACAATCGACCGACGATTCAGCGATCAACCAACTGCCCAAATCAACTCCTCAATAAAATTAAAAAATGATCTAGTTCCAACAATTCAGTGGAATTAATCCCATTGCTCCCGATCCATCAAGCACATCAATGAAACCAATCACTTCTGAAA